GCGCTCTGCACAAACAGGAGTGTTTGTGATTATCACTCTGCCTGACAGTTGCATCAGGGCTCTTTGGAACTCTGACAAACACAAAGGTAGAAAGTCAGAAAAATCCATACCGAACAGCATTTCTTAATGGTTGGAGGGTTCTACCTTCATGTCTGTATGTGCAGTGGCAGACGTATGTAACTGCTTTTTAAGGAAGGAGCTGGGAATGAGGCAGAAACTAGGATTTTTTTTTTTACAATGGTAAATATGTATGTATAATATGTATGTTTCAGCTGGCATACAGCTCCTAAATCATGTGGACCTGTATGAATATTATCATTATCTAATAGAATGCACACCTATATTTTCCCCCTCTTTCTGCTGCCTTGTTGGAAAATGCAATCAATAGAAAACAAAACATTGGAAAAGGAAAAAGGGAGAGGTATATTTAAATATTAAAATTAACTTCTGATCCAGTATTATATTCTTTTACCTACCATTTACCATGTAAAATACAATGAAGTCATAAAATTCTGTTGGCCAGAAAGTATAAAATTGTTTTTTTTCTTCTTCTCCTTCCATTCATTTATTTAAGAAATACTAATATATATGCAGATATATTTGTAAAACTAAATATATAATTTTCTCCCCTAATAGTTGGACTGGATATTCAGCAGAAATATACACCATTTTACTTAGGACCAAAGAAGGTTGGAAATCAAATTATGAACATTCATGGAAAATTCAAAGATTGCTATTCATCTGATAGTTATCACACTTCTTCAGTAGGGTCATCAAAACTAAGAACAAATAAAGGCAAGCAAAAATTCCCTACTAAATACTGCTAGCAGCCAAATAGGTTTCAGGTATGTGCTTGATGTCAGAACCCAGTCTGATGGTGAGAAATGTATGAATATAAAGGGTACAGGCCTACTTCAGAAGTTTTTGTTTGCAGGGTATTAAAATAATTATGAGATGAGTTGGCAAACAAGAAAGATCAGTGTACTTTTGGGTTAGTATTCAAAATAAATGCAAATTCCACTTTTTCAGCAGGCATTTGAAATTTGCCTGAGGTATTCTCTTTGTGGTTATAAATAGCGCTAGAATTCTGTTGGATTTTTGTTTTTTAAATGTTGTTTCTAACACTTTAAATGGCATGTGACATTCTTATGATTTCAAGCCAATTCGTTAAAAATAATATATGAAATAGATATCTAATGTATACGTATTTGATGTTTTTTGAATCTGAATATTTTTAGTTGGTTTTGATTTAAATTGTAGGATCCTCAGATCAGTTTTCCAGTGATAGCCCTATTGAACACAATGGGATTTATTTTGGCACAAAATTTTTAGAAACAGAATATATACGGTATGCCTTACCCTTTTGTTCTGACATTAAAGTTTCAGTGCAAGTAGATTAAGGATAAATCACTTAAATTATAACAAACTTTCAGTAGGTTTATCACCTCATAGCCTGTTTTCTATGATGATCATTTTCAAATGTTTTCTATGTGTTTCATCTTCACTTATGATTTACCTTATGAACTTTGTGGAAAGAACAGTAAAATAATGTGCAAAGGCTGCAGTTTTTCACTGATTACCATGTACTGGATTGCGATACAATGTTTAAAGTTTTTTTCTTCTATGTCATCAAATTAACATAAAACAAAAGGAGCCACTTGTAGCCAAGAATCACTAAGCATAAAGAATGGAAATAGAAAATGCAATCACCACTGCAAAAATAAAGAAATATGTGGACATGACTGCTGTGAGTTTCATTCATTTTTTTGTTATTATAGCTTGTGAATGATCCAGTTTGCAATGAAAGAATTATGAGGAGGATTCACTCAGTCTCTTGAGTTTAGCAAATGTGCATATGTAGACATGTGCACACATGTAAACACTTTTGGATCCTTTAGAGGTGGGTGTATTGGAGGGAATTTCACATATCGAACATCACAGACAGGAGGGTAGAGGAATGAGGTGAGGAAGTATACAGTATTGTCCCATAAGTCATAATATGATTACTTTTTAAAAGATTACATTTATAATTAAAAATTATATATAATGTTGATGTCTTTAGTTTCCTGTGTAGAATCCTTATTCCACTCCTTAACCTGACATTTGAGGAGTAATTTGGTAATTAGACATATGCCACTGGGACTAAATTCATCTCAAAATACAAGATCAGAAACTACCATCATCAACTGGATTGTAGAGCAATAGAGCTTTTGTCTTTAAGAGGCTCCTCAGGATGTAGCTATTTTCTCAGGTCTTCTCTAATTTGCTGTTCAAGTAGTAGATTATTTCATACTTGCTACCAATGTCCCATAGCATGTCTAGGCTAGCTAGAGAAAATATTGATGGTCTAAGCCGTTATATATTCAGAGATGGGTTGTTGGGTTTTTTTTTTTTCAGCTGAGGCTTTAAATTAAATCTGCCTTATTCTGGGAATGTTATGGCATTGCCTCAATATTTATTTATTCAACTTGAAGACTGCCTAACTCCCTACTCTTGGTGGCTTACAATATCCACCAAAAAACCATGAACAATTTTTAAAAATGTTCATCCAGAAGAGTAAAACAACAAAACAGACCCAAAGTCAATAAAAATGATCATCATGTTTTACTCATAACTCTGCTACTGCTTCTGTCTTTTTTCATTAAAATGCATTTAGGAATTATTTAGAAATAATTGGTATATGCAGTCTTGCCATATAAAATAGAAGTGGTTGGGTTGTTCAGATATAAACATACAGGAGTTTATTTGAAATTTCTATAAATTATTTTTTCTTTATTTCTAGTTTTCTATGACAAAAATAAAATATAAATATAAAACAAAAACATATGTTACATTTTTAAAGGTAAAATTGGAGTTTCAGAGAAATCTAACATGAAGAATGAGTCAGCCTTTTCTTCATATCTTACTGATTTGAGGAATCGGAATGCTGAATCTGCCATTCCCCCAGTCAAGCGATTAAAGGTATATAAATTTGGATGGGTGTATGTGTCCTTTTTTAAACAAAATAACTATATTTGCAATTAAGAGCATTTTTGTTAATGAAATATAATATCTCATGTTGAATATTTTCTGCGAAACAGAAAAAGAGGCAGAACATTATATTAGGATTAGAAATACCCTACAAAAAAGATTAAGGTGACAGTAGAAATTATCCCAGAAAAATTATTGGAAAATAAATGTTTAAAATCTTCTAAGCAATTTATTTGGAATCACAATAGAAGCTGGTACCAGTATTCCACAAGAGGTAGCTTTGAAATGAAAATGTTATATGCGTTTTGGCAATATATGTCTTCTCTAAACAATAGTGGCTAATTTGAATATGGTTGTTGGATTGAATAGCAAACCAAGATGGGATATCATACATTGTGCTGCTTTTTGTGGACAATAGTCTGACTATGCTTCTTACCGGCCAGTTTAGCAGGGTTTGGGGGATAAGCTCTGTGCTCTGTTCTTAAGATTTCAGAGTAGAATAATTTTTATTTATACAGAATTGCCATCTGTTCTTCCTCTTTGGTAAAATTAGACAAATTTACAGATTTCAAACTAATCTTCTCTCTTGTAGAAATTTTCTCCTACATAAAGTGACTACAACAATTATAATAGGAAATGAAATATGGTTAATAAACTATAGATTTATAGCCACCCTGAGTTTGCTGAGGTCTTTGCATAATTCAAAGCTGCCATTCACTAAAATCATCATCATCATCACCATCATCATCCCAAAACTATCGATTGCAGTATGAAGCCGTCTTCATTGAAAGTTATGCCCTGTCATCTATTATGTTGGTTTAGTGCATGTTGGTAGCTAGATATTTTTCAGCTTCCAGGTCTAAGTCTGAGAGAAAGTAACAGGTCCAAAATCACCCAGGTGGCTTCTAAGGGAGGACTAGAACTCCCTCCTCCTAGTCCAGCACCTTAACCATAGAGAGCTCTCAATCAATAGATAAGTAGATCTCTCCGTCCCTCCCTCTCTCCCTCCCTCTCTCTCTCCACACATGCACACACAGAGAGATATTTTCTACCATATAAAAACGTATCAAGTAGAGAAAATAATGTTCATGTGTAATGTTTGTGTTTCTGACAAAGTGATGGGTTCTCATTTTCTAGTTTTATATAAGAAACAAATATCTGTATACATGTATATTATATTAAGAATCTTTTTCTACATTTTAGATGCAAATGTCAAATAAATCTCAAAAAGTGGATCTTAAACAATATAGTTATATTCCAAAAGGTTTTCTTCCAGCATTGCCAAGGTACTGTACAAATTAGTAGGAGTCATCTATCATTATCATCTTTCTTTATTATGATTCAAGATTAAGAAAACATAAATTAAAATAACACTGGTACAATCCCAAAATATAATAACTTTATAACAGTTTAATACATGACATACTTTTAGTAACAAATCTGGGTATGACATAGCTTTATGGTTAAGGCACAAAATTTGAACATTAAAAATGTGATTTCAGGACACCTGTCATTTAAGAAAACTTCTAAATAACATTGATCAGGGTGGCCAGGCAATCTTTCCAGAAGGTAAATTAATTGATAGCACAGTTATGCATAGAATTTACACCTTAGAAAAACATGTTCTAGGGTTTTAGGTTCACCCGAAAAACAAGGGATTCCTTTATATCTGCCAGCCATAACTGCAGAAGGAAGGGCATTAAAACATGCTTTGGAAAATGAATATAGGATAACTAGAATAAATAGCATGCAGGTTGTGGTTCCCTTGATTCACTGAGGAGATGATATAATCTGGGGGTGCTGCTAATTTACTATATACTGAAGTTCAGCATCTGGAAGAAATTAAGGGACATCCCAAAGTGAAGCAGTGTGTTAGCTAGATGACTATATATCATCTAGATTTAAAGTGAACATTCCTAAACTAGGAGGAAGCCCCATGGGAGATAGAGTTTAAGCCAGTAAGACCCACCCACACACCCATGACAGCAGGTGTTCTTCAGAGGAATGACTAAAAAACACTAGGCATAAAGATCATCCCAGCTGCCCAGCTAAAGCAAGCAGGCACCTATATTGCGCAGCAGCAATACAGGAAGATGCTGGAGGTGAATGATCACTTTACCAACAATGACAAAGGCATCAAGTTGTGCTGCACAGGAAAAGGCACTGGTAAACCACTCTTTATTTTTACCAAGAAAACCACATGGATAGAGAATATGAAATGATTGAGGATATAGTGCCAGAAGATGGGCCCCTTAGATCAGATGGCACTTAACATACTACTGGAGTACATAGAAATCAAACTGACTATATTGGTAAAAAGAGGTGGAGGAGCTCAGTTATAGTAGCAAAGACATGGTCAGGTTTTATCTGTGAAACAGATTATGAACTGCTCTTGTGCAAGTTCCAAGTTAAGCTAAAAGAGGAGGAGGAGGCCAATTGGTTTCCACAATATGATCCTGAACATGTACCCACCATTTTCAAGGAAAACATCAGGAATTGCTTTGAAGTCCTGAACCTCATTTATAGAGAACCAAAGGAACTGTGGCATAAACTTAAAGAAGTAATTAAGAGTGAATGTGAAAACAGCCTGCTATAGATAGATAAACAGAAAAAAGCATACTGGATGTTAGAACAAACCATGGAAATTACCAAGAAGAGAAGTCAAAGTTAAAACAAAAACCTCAGGAAGGAACTTAAGTAAGAATTTCAGAGAGCTGTTAGAAAAAACAAGAAGCAATATTACATTAACATCTGTAAAGACATTGAAGAGGGAAACAGACCTGGTAAAATGAGGGAAGTCTGGACACATTACGCAAAGGCCTAGCTCTCTGGAGAAGGCTCTAATGCTGGAGAAGGCTCTAATCCTGGAAAAGCTAGAAGGAAAGAGAAGAGGAAGACCAGCAGCAAGATGGATGGACTCAGTTATAGTGGTGATGGGTACACAACTGGAAGACCTGAAGGACCAGGTTAAGGACAGATCATCATGGGAAAAATCTATGAGGTTGCCAAGAGTCAGCGGTGACTTGATGGCACATAATCAAGTAAGGAAGCAAGCGAGTAAAATATAGTGGTCTTTGCTGCCCAGAGACACATGCAAGTGAGATGGACAGCCATATAAATTTAATAAATAAATATGATTACTTGCCACACTTTTGTTGTGATGCTAATCAGCCCAGCCTCTAGCCCAGGTATAGCACTGGAGAAATTTCTAGGAGTAAACAGTCAGGGTCTCAGAAAATAAGATTATATTCTTTCATACAGATGGAATACAATGTCATAAAGAAGCTGTGCTACTGATTTTGCAACAAATAATCTGATGGTTTTGGGTATACAATATCCATCCTGATTCCTAAAAAATCTTAGAATAGTCACCATGCTTCTCTGAGCTTTAGTGTTGACATAGTGGATATGTACCATTTGATGACTAGAGGCTTGAAAAACTACCCCTTATATCATCCAGATTGTTTCTTCTTTTTAATAAAAATCTCAAATTTATTTCACTATAAAATTGATTCTAACTATTTCATTTTTCTAAAGATTAGAGTATGTACAACATCCAAGATCCCCTTCATTAGAAGAGGTCTACAGTTCTAATGTCTGTCAAGGATTTCAGGTGGAACCTGAAGTTTGCAAAATGAATGGTAAATTTCTAATGACGTCTAACATTTATTTTACTGGGGCCACAGTTTAGTCACAGTTAAAACTAATTCTTGTAGTTTCAACAATAGAAATTAATTGTATTTGGAAGCATCGCGCTACTTTACTTCACTACATGGTAACATAAAGGAACAACTGGAGTATCTTTATTATCCCAGTACCTTCTTATTTTGTAGATTTTGACACAAAATAATACACTTAATATCCAAGCCAGTGTCATAATTATCTGACTATGAATGTTTCAGGTCAGTATATAATAATTAGAAAAGCTTGTATAAACAAATGCAATCAGTTATAAATTTTATAAATAAATATTTGCTCCCTATTAGAAACATGATACCTGCTTCCAAAAATAGTATTGTGGATTCATGTGTCTTTTTGTTTAAATTGAATAAATGTATTAAGTATTTTTAATAGTGTAAGAAAGTACATTGTAAGATTATTGTTATGCTCAATTTTAGGTTTCTTTGCTATCAAACACTCTGACGAAAAGAATAACCAGACAATGAGTTTAAACAAAAGTCTCGAAGAATCTTTAATGAGCAACTTGACTGATGCAGATAAAAGCATCTCTTTGTTTTCCGAACCTTTGAATGTGAATTTTGAATTAGGAAATGAGATTTGGGATGATTATGATGATGGGAGTTTAGTACATGGCAGTGTTTTTACTGCTAATCTGCAGAAGTCAAAAGATCCAGGTAAATCAATTAAATGTCACACCTAATTTTAGTTTAAACTAATTATTAGTATTGTGTATACAAAATCCATATTATTAGCTTCAGCTGAAAAAGAAAACCTCTCCAGCCACAAAGACAGTGCAAAAAAAGTTTTTTAACGTGACTCAAATATTATTTTTGTTATATAAAAAGGGATAAATAAAATGATACAATACAGTTTCTAAAACATAACATGGCATACTCATACCTGCATGCCCAGTTAATTCATAATATTTTGGAACACTGGAGACAGATACACTTAATTGTCATATCTGGCCTTTTTGTGCATTGATTTTAGGAATATAGACAAGCAAGAAGTTAAGAAAAAACATTTAGTTTGAAGTATATCGCTGAATAAAATGTTAGATTCAAGCCACAAGTTGTTAGCAGTATGATTGATTAGATTTTGTGGAATCCTTGGGGTTCTCTGAGCTTGGTTGTTTTCTTGCAAACCTTTCGTTATCTGACTAGGTAACATCTTCAGTGCTAGAATGAAGTGGAGTTTGCTTTCTGTTTCTATACAGTGGTTTGCCCTGCCTGTGTTGGTGGGGGTTTTTTCGCCTGGAAGTTCCTTGATTAGGGTATTGTTTACTGCTTGATTGTATGTCTGGTGTTAATCTTGGTGTTAATCTCTGCTTATTTGGGTAATGACTGCTGGTGAGGAGATGTTCTGGTGTTTTGTTTCCTTTTTATTGTCTATAGCATTTCCACGCATACAACCAAAAGTATGGATCCGGTATGTAGATGACACCTTTGTTTTAATAAAAAAGGAACAACTAAAGAAGACACATAAAACCATCAACATCTTTGAAGGAATAAAATTCACCAGAGAGGAAGAAAACAACAACATGCTACCCTTCCTGGATATCCTCATCAGCAGAGGAAACATCAGAAAATTAGAAACTCAAGTCTATTGGAAAACAACCCACACTAACC